TTAGCCTTTAGGTCCAAGTTTTGGGGAAGGGCTTCTGGGCAGAGAACTGAAACCAAGGAACCAATTACCAGTAATGTTTTATTGGAATTTTTGTCATCACATGGACCTTTGAGGGAGCTAAAGGAAAAGTGATGAATTATTCAGTAAGTTCTGTCTGGGAAATTAGTATAATGTTTAGGGAAAAAAAATCCCATTAGATGTTCACTCTATACTTAATTCTAAAACCTTCCAGATAGATTATAGAGTTAAATATTTTTAAAAATTAAATAAGAAAATACAGCTGAATACTTATCCGTTTATGAATAAAGACCTTTCTTAGTTTAAGAGTAATAAATCACTGAGGAAAATATGTTCACACTTGACTTCAGAAAAAATAGCTTCCTTTTGATTAATAAAAAAGACCAATATGAGAAATCAAACAGCAATCTGAGAAAGATATTAGTAGCCAGTATGACAGACAAAAGGTTGATATTTTCACTGTATCTATATCCTCTGCAATTCAATTAGAAAGACATTGAGTTCCCAGTAGATAAATAATGAGTAGGATATAAAACAATTCATGAGTATGGAAAAATATCCAATTTTTTAGTCAAAAAATTTTGAAATAGATACAATTTATTACTTGTCGAAGAAGTAGAGATTATGTTTTAAGTGAAATAGGAACTTTTTACATTACTGTTAGCAACGTAATGCTATCCTTTTGGAAAAACAATTGTACAGTAAATTTCTTGATGATAATGATGAAAATCATAACAACTAACTTTCATAGCATTTTCTATGTGCCCTGCACTGTTCTAAGCAGTTTACATGTTTTAATTAATCCTTCCAATATCCTATAAGGTAGGAACTTTAATTATCCTTGTTTTAAAGGTGAGAAATTGAGGCACAGAAAAGGTAACTTGCTCAAGATCACATAAATAAGCTAGTAATTGGTGGAGACATGATTCAAACCCACTAGTCCTACTTTGGGGATTTTTTTTTTCATCATGAAGTCATCTGAAAATTTGGTTAGATATAACTTTACTCGCAAGAGATACTCCCAGTACCACTGTGTCCCCTCTCTTTTTTTGACACATTGGTATTTTTGCTCATGTTCTCACTGCTTGAATATCCTTTCTCACCTTCTCTGGCTTGGTACAGGTATCATTTCCCCCATGAAGCATTTCTTGACCCTCTTCAATCTTGATCTTTCCATCTCTCATTCCCTTCTGTCATCTTGTAGATTGGATGTCCTTCTGTTTGTTTCATAGCATCCACTTAACCAAAAATTTTCTCAAATGCTCTGGCTAAATGTCTCCCCCGTCCCTTCCACTTGTTTTACTAATGGTTGAAGGCAGGAACTATGTCTATTTTAGTTTTATATCCGTAGTGCCTATTACAGTGCCACATATTAGGCTTTTTCCTCTCCTTATTAACATTTTCTCTACTTTACAAAGTCTTTTCAAATTAACATAACTTTATCATTTATAATCATTATAGTGAACAACACAATTAAACATGACTGAATTATTAAAGTCCATATGGGGTCAAGTTTCAATCAGTTCAACTGTGTTCTTTTTAACACTTTAAAATATATTTGGTGTTGTTAAGTAGAGCTTTGTTTTGTTTTTGTTAACATTGCTGTCTCTCTGGAAAAAAAAATCAATCCATATCTAAAAGATAGAGTTCCACCTATTTTCTCTTACTCTATGAAACTTCCCCTTCTAAGGTCAGTTCATAAAATTGACCGTGAATCAAACTTCCGGAATTTTTCAATTTTTTTATTTGATTTTGCTTTTTGTCGTACTGATTCTAGCCAAGATCCCTCTTTGAGATTGCAAAGCAATTTTATTTTCCTTTTAGAAAGCACAGTGCTTGTTTTCTTTTCTCTCTTTTTTTCTTTCTTTCTTTTGCTTGGTTTGTTTTTAGAATTAGTGCAGGAGCAATGGTTTCATGAAGTTGTTGCTCAGGCTGTTTTTCTCTCAAAAGACACAAATGTTTGTTGAATTTTTATCCCCATAATCTATATTTTAAATAATGACTTATTATAAGTGTATCTTAGACCTTGATAGGTTGGCTGCCGTTGTGTTCAAGGTCAAGGGTCATTTTTTTTTGGGGGTGTCAGGTTTATTGTGGCCATCTCAATAACAGTACCTCATCTCTTAGTTGGGCAGGTTTCAGATGACTCTGAACTTTCTTAGTATCAAGACTACTTCAAAAAC